AAATGTTTGTATAATATATACATATACATACATATATATATATATATATATACGTATATATAAGTACGTCATGACTACGATGAAAATTTAATTCATTTTTTTCTTTCAACACAATTATAACGCGAATTAATCGACGTTACGTATTTTTCATTGTAAAATTATTCTTTACGTCTTATAAATGACATTGTCTTTTCTTTTTTTTCTTTTTCTAAACGCATATCAGAAAGAATTGCGATAACTTAAACGAATGAGAGAAATTTCTTCTTCTTTTTTTTTTTAAGTAAAAAAATTTAAAATAAAAAAAAAAGAACAAGAAAAATCATCAATGAATACTTCACAAAAATATACATATATGTATAATGCATATGACAGACAAATGGTGCATTGTGCATAATGTATACAATTTGTTACGATGCAAATATAAATTTTATTTGCAATAATCCTATTGATAGATAGAACCTGTTTTATAATTTATTTCCTTATTTTTTTTTTTTTTGTTTTTTTTGTCCAATCCACAAATTCGTTGCATTCTCTATGGGTTACTCGTTTTATTTTCTCTCCACAAAGAGACACACAAAAGTCACGTTTTTTCTTATTATCTTATTACTATTATTATTCTTCTTCTTCTTCTTTCTCTTTTAATATTTTAATCGAGAGTCTCTTTCCCCGTTCGTGGTAATACGAATGACAAAAAGCCGCATACTGTAAAATTAATAATTATCGTTAAATGTGTAACGTGTATTACGTACGAGATTTCGTACAGAAAAAAAAAAAAAAACAAAAAAATAACCAAATTATTTAATTTCACGAGTCCACAAAATGCCATCACGAATAAATATTAACAAAAAATGATGTTTCACATTCTTACGAATTTTTTTTCGAGATTGTGGTTTTTTTTTTATTATTATTATTATATATCATTTTCAACATTTCGTATTTATACGTATTTAGAGTCAAATAATTTAACAATATTTTAATAAACCTTTTGCATAAGTGTGCATTCGTGCACGTGGCATACACACACACGCACACAATATTTATCTTAAAAAATGTGAAATATAATATAATATATTTAAGAAATAACTTACGAAACAAGAATGCGGCGAATATCACTATAGGTACGATGCATGCTAAATCAATTAAATAACCGAATATTAAGTTTCCAACTAATGCACCTAATCGACCCATTGTTAGAGATAACGCTGCTGCCATTACCCTGTTAAAGAAGAAACAAAAAAAAACAACAACAAAATAATTATATATCATTTATGATTAAAAATAGATTTGATAAAATA